CCGCCGCCCCTCCTGCGGCTGGAGCGCGTCCAGAGCCGAGGCGCAGCGCCGCTCCCCTCTGCGCCCGGTCGGCGATCCTCCTGCCCGTCCTCCTCCTCCTCCTCCTCCTCCTCTTGCTCCTCCTTCTCCTCCCGGTGCCCTCAGCAGCGGCTCCAGCAGCCGGCCCCTCCTCTCCCTCCCTCCCCCTGCTCTTGCGCTCTCCCCGCTAACTTTCCCGAGCCCCGACCGGCGGCGCAGAGCTCGCGGCGGCTCGGCGGCCCACTGCAGACCGCGGGGCCGCGAGCGGCTGTGCCCTGTAGCCCGTCCCCGCGCCCCTGGCGCGCTCCGGAGACCACAGAACGATGCCCGGGGCCAGGGACCGAGGCGCGGCCCCGGCGACATGGCTGGGCACTGGGCTTTTGGGTAAGGCAGCCCCAGCTTGATCTCTTCTCCTCTTTCTCCACCCTGTTCCCCCAGGGGAGGGGACACTTAGAAGAGAAGTGCGGTGGACCGGGTGGGCTTTGGAGTGCGGCACGGAAGGAGCAGCGCCGCCACCAGTTTCGTGCCGGCCGCCCGGCTCGCGCGGCTGGGCTCTCTGGGGACGGTGCGTGTCCCCCGCCCCAACGGCCGCCAGCCCCGTGATTAGTTCTTTGCTGTCCCTGGCGCCTTCAGCTCCGGGCTTCTGGAGCTGCATCTTGGCGCTGCAGCACGGGTCTCTCGAGTCCTGAGGTTTAGGCTTGCTGGGGGAGGGTGTCTGTGCCCCGGGCGTAGGGGGGATGCCAGGCGGGCTGCACCTGTGACTGTCGGGATGGTGGTTTCTCCCCCTACCCAGAGCTGTTTGCAACTTGGAGGCTTGATGCCCAGGCATCGGGATGCACCAGTTGGAGGGGGTGGAGGGGGCCTCCCCTTCCTCCTGGCCCTTTTCCCGCTTGTCTCTGCCCTCTCTCTCCTCAGTGCCCACTGTCTTTCCCGCAGCCCCACACTAGGGACTGGGGAGGGTTGGGAGGACTTGGAGAACCGTTCAAGCCCCCTTTTAGGAAAGATCTTTTCCTTCTCTTTACAAAGAGATACCACAGGGAGGACCTGTTTAACCTGCTCCCGGGCTCTTCGTTTTGGGATGAGTATGAAGACGGAGGAGACAGATCCAGAGGACCCCGAAGGAAGACAGTATTAATAGCTATTAATATACACGTGACAGTTTTGAGTGGCGAACTCCAAGAGATTAGAGAATGGTATCAGTCCAGAATCAAATCCCCTCGTAAATCATAGCTGGATTTCAATGTAAGCTGACCCCATCTCTGGCACCTGCCCTTCTTCCTGTTTATATTTGTCAGATTTGGCTTTTGGCGGCTCCCCTCGTCAGGCTAGGTACATGATGTAGGCGTTTGTGCCGGCAACAGGGAGACCGAAGCTTTTAAGGGCGGCCGCTGCTGTGCGTGCAAATGTAAATAAACTGTATGCGGACCTGTGTGGCCACGTGTATGCACGTGGTGCGGCGGAGGGTAGAGTATTTCTTTCACTCAGGAGCCACTGATTTACTTACATCCCTACAGCTGGCGAGAAGACACGGGTGTTGTCTCTCGTCCCTTGGGTGCAGGTGTGTGCTGCTTTCGCAGTGACCCTGATGAGGTTGGCGTCTGCGAGGCCTGAGGCTCCGTCTTCATCGGGTGGGCGCAGGGCCGCTGTGTGCCAGCTCTCCCCACCCCCATCTTGCCTCTGATCAGCCCAGGTGCCCACGGTGGCCACGGCAGGGGTAAGGGGTCCCTGGGGAAGTCAAACTCCTACAGTCATTAAACCAGCCCACTTATCAACACCTCTGCCCTGCCTTCTGCCTGCGGTGGGCAGAGTCTTGGTACTTTGCTCCAGGTGGAAAACGTCCCCTCCCCCCTTCCCCCAAGGACTGTTCAGCTGGGTAGACTTAGGACCACCAGGGTCCCTCCTTGGACCCGGCCCAGGCGGCCGCTACTGAGCCCTCACAGAGGGCATTGCTTTGAGCTTGGGACACAGCCGCTATCTTTGCTCCCAGTCCAGCGGGGGAGATACAGGGGCAATTGGACAGCCAACTTGAGAAGCTCCCTGGCAGCATCTGAGCTGGCAGGAAGTTTGAAAACCGTATCACAGAGCTCCCTTAAGGATGAGGAAGCCAGGGTCCAGAGAGGGAAGGTGACTCACCCAGCGTGGCCAATTGATGGTCAAGTGGGACAGAATCCAGTTCTCTTGGGCTCTGTCAGCCCAACTTGCCTCCCAGTTGACTAAAGTCTGGTGAGAGGGAAGGTCAGCAGGATTGTGCTCTTGAGCTGAAGAAGGGGTGAGGCCTGTAGGGATAGAGGCTTGGGGGCCCAGACACCTGCAGAGACTGGGCACAAAGCAGTAAGCTCCCCGGGGTCCCTCCCCCCCCCACCCCATGTCAAACTCAGTTTCACTTATTGAGACTACAGATTTCTCCTAACCCCACAACATATCCCTCTCTTAAACAGAGAAGCAGTTTCCAAGGTCGTACTGTTGCGGCTGGGGTTTACGTGGGTGCCAGTCCCTTCCTGAGCTTGTAACTGGTAATATGTCTGTCCTGCCCGCCCCTTCCTTGTTCCCCGATTGGCTTAATTGCTGTGATCTGTGTTTAATTATCACTTGTGAGGGTGCTATGTTGCACAACCCTCTTTCCCTTGGTATGTATTTATTAAGGGCTTGTTTAACGAGAAGACAATTAAGGAGAAGGTGCTCAGACCGGCTCAGAGAAAAGGAAAGGAAAGGGCGAGGTAAGGAGTTCACGGAGAAGAGGGCGGGAACGAGGAGGAGTGGAGAGATGCCCTTGGTTTTGAGCTGGACTGGGTGACGGGCTGGTTTTCTGGAGATGCGGGCCGTGGGGGTATCCCAAAGCCCTCCCTCCCCTCCCCCCCTAGTGCTAGGATCAGTGCGAAAGGTAGGCCCTGGGCACAGGTGCTGCCACGTCTTGCTGAGAGTGCAGGGATCTCTGCATAAGCCGCCGGCTGGTTGTGCCCACACACCCATTCCGTGGCTGCAAGGGGGGGGGGGGGGGGGGGGGGCGGGCTCGCTGTTTGGACTTGTTGGCAAAGCTGGTTTTGCTGAGCATCCAGTACTCTCTCGGGGGCACACTTCTGTCTCAGCAAAGCTCCTGGGGGTGGGCAGGAAGTAGGCAGGTTGCCTAGGGAGAGGGAGCTGAAATCTTTCCTTTGTCTCTGGGCCCAGGGGCCTTGGTTGGCCCAGCCCTGCCTCCCACGGCCCCCAGGGCCCTGCTCCCCAGGAGGGGTCTTGTCCTGCTGCCTCGGCCCACTTTCTGCTACTCAGCTCTAACTTTGAGCCTGTCTCTGTCTGACTCCCCCCGGGGCCAGGGACCAGAGCGTATCAGCTTCCCTGTTACAGTCAGCCCGCTTCGGCCTCCCATGCTGCCAGGCCAGCCCTTGGAGCTAAACTTAGAGCCCATGCCACCTTGCCCCTCTTTGCTCCCTCCCCTCTGGCGGTGTGTGTGTGTGTGTGTGTGTGCGTGATTGATCCTTGGATTTGGGGAGAGGTGGCAGACCATTTCCTGCCTTGGCATTTGCCTTGGAATGTTTGATGGTGACCGTAAGATTCCCGCTGGTGTGAATATTTAATGATTACATCTGCATGCGCCAAGGACTTAAAAATTTTTTTTTAATGTTTATTTATTTTTGAGAGAGAGAGAGAGAGACAGACAGACAGACAGAGCATCAACAGGGGAGGAGCAGAGAGAGAGGGAGACACAGAATCGGAAGCAGGCTCCAGGCTCTGAGCCATCAGCCCAGAGCCCGACGCGGGGCTCGAACTCACGGACCGCGAGATCGTGACCTGAGCCGAAGTCGGACGCTCAACCGACTGAGCCACCCAGGCGCCCCTAGGGCTTTTTTTACTTTACTAAAACTTGGGCAGCTCGAGTGACTCCTCAGACAATACCCGCAGCACCCAGATGAGAGTGGAGGGGCCGAAGGCTTCCCAGAAGGGCAAAGAAAGTGGAGGCTCCGAGAGTCGCTGGGTAGTCAGGGCCTTTCAGGGAGCAAAGGCAAAGATTTGGGGCTCAGGGTGGTATTCCACAGGGTGAGACCTTGTTCATCGACCCCTGAGGCTAGAAAGAGGCCCCCAGTCCCAAATACAGGCACACACTGAAATTCTAAACAGTTGAAATTCTAAGCAACGTCTTCACTCCGAGGAAATGGCCGCACAGACACAATCACCTCCACGTGGTGATATAGGGCACGAGTGTAAACTAGTGTGCGAACGGCCTGGGGGCATTTTCGGCTGACACTGGCCATTGACCTAGAGGTCCCCTGGTCATGTCCAGACCTGTGATGGGGGTGAGCCCTGTCCCCCTCCCTCCTTTCAAATATCATCCTCCTCTCCCTGCGAGGTGCCTAGGTCAGAGGGGTGGCCTCACTGAGGCCCTTCACGGGCTTTGTGAGCTCATGTTTTGTCTTTATACCAAGCTCAGGAGGTAGGAAAGACAGGCGTCCCTGGTCTGGGGTGTGCATGCGGGCTGTGGCGTCTCTGACTTTATCAAGGTCAGCAGGCAGTGTGGGGCCTGCTTGGCACCTGCTGACCAGTCCGCTCCTGGCTTGGTCATCCTACTGAAGCACTCTTCCGGGGGCCTCTGGTGGACCAACATCTGCCCTTGTTCCCTCCTGTCCCCCCAGTAGAGCATTGCCAATGCGAGAACACGGGAGACAGGCCCCTGGCTTTTCTGTGCACGAGCCTCCCAGGCATAGCGGCCAGGACTTCCAGACCGCTGGGAGGCTGTGCGGTGCAGAGCCCAGGCTTGCCCGCCGTCTCTGATGCCTGAACTTGGGCAGGGCTTTGGACTTTTCCGTGGAAGCCTCTCTGCCTTTCCTTTGTCCCCTCCAGGCTATGCTGGGAATGGCAATGTTTCACTGTGGGAATCCTGAGTGTATTAGAGTTAAGTCATCCACATAGGCACACACTAATCAGGCAGAAATATGCATTGTCATGAGCTAGACCTTAAAGAAATAGCCTGTCCTCCGTTTTGGACTCTTTTGCCCTTTTTGGCCTCTCCCTATTTAAAGCAGTCAGAAAGATTTTGCTTTCGATGTGTATTTTTGGTGTTCTTGGATATCCCATTCTGGCGAGGGTTGGGGAGGGGATGTGACCCTTGACTTGAGATCCCCCCCATCTGCCTCAGGATCCGGGTTCCTGGCCAGAGGTGCCAGCGAGCACTGGAGGCTGGAGCTATGGCTGTCCTTGGAGCTTGGGCACCGAGGGAGGCCTGTGGTTATTAGGAAGCTTCTCCTGAAGGCTTCCCCGTCATAGCTCCACACTCTGTTCCTTGGTTTGGGGGAGCGATGGGGGTCAGAAGGAGAGCTCGGGTTGCCTACGAAGGGCCATCTTCAAAAAAAAATTTTTTTTAAATGTTTATTTACATCTGAGAGAGAAAGAGAGAGAAAGAGTAGGAGAAGGGCAGAGAGAGAGACAGAATCGGAAGCAGGCTCCAGGCTCCGAGCTGTCAGCACAGAGCCCGGTGCGGGGCTCGAACTCACAAACCGTGAGATCGTCACCTGAGCCGAAGTCGGACGCTTGCTCCTGTCTGGCTGCTGTCCCCAGACCTCTAGGGGAGGTGTGTTGCAGGGCAGGGGCAGAGGGAAAAAGGAAACCAGGAGCAGTGAGCCGAGCTAGCCTTGAGAGTGTGAATGCTGGTTATTCCACTCACCGGGTGTGTGGCCTTGAGCAAGTGATTTTCTCTGAGCCTGTTCCTTTCATTTTGTATATTAAGGATAAAAATAACTACCTCGTAGGATTATTATGAGGATTAAATGAGACAGGGCATATAACATGCCCTGGGCTCAGTCCCAGATTCACCAGTTACTATGTGGCCCTGGGCAAGTTATGTAAGCTCTCTGAGCCTCAGTTTCACCATCTGTAAAATGAGAAAAATTATACCTACCTTTTGGTGTTCTAATAAACACTGGTGTTAATGTGGATAAATCCTCTAGGACAGTGGTTTTCAAAGTGTTGTTGCTGACCAGAGTATTCCCTGAGAACATGAAGAAATGCAAATTTCTTTTTTTTTAAGTGTTTATTTATTTTGAGAGAGAGAGACAGAGAGAGAGAGAGAGAGAGACTCCCCAGCAGGCTCTGCACTGTCAGCACCGAGTCCAATGCGGGGCTCGAACCCAGGAACCATGAGATCGTGACCTGAGCCGAAATCAAGCATCAGAAGCTTAACCCACCGAGCCCCCCAGGCGCCCCTAGAAATGCAAATTTCTAATTTCCAGTAGGCTCTCTGGACTGAATCAGAAACTCCAGAGGTGGGGCCAAGCCATCTGTAAGTGTCCTCCAGGTGATCCCGATGCTGTCTCAAGTTGGAAAGCCACATTCTAGAACAATTCCTGGCACGTAAGAGCCGATCGAAGAATGAGGGCTAACTTCTCAACACTCAAGGGAACCTTGGCGGGCAAACCCTTCTCTACTAGGATGTGAGAAAGGAGTTTCTTGCTCTGGGGCTTTGGAATGCTGGAAATGTTTCTTGTTGACCGAAAGGCGAGCCACTTAACCTCTCTGTGCTAGTTGTCTCATCTATAATATGGACTTATCATAGCACGTCGCTCACAGGATGGGTATAGATCCGATGTGCCTGGCACATAGTACATGCTCAGTAAGTATCGGCTGTGATCGACACTGGCAGGGGCCACGATGGGTTCCTGGACCATTGCGTGTTCCTTCTGACCTTCGAGGTGAGAGCCCTCCACGTTGCCTTCTGCAGCTGAGGGGACGTGAAGAAGCTGAGTGGAGCCCTGAGTGCAGGAAGCGGGGCCCTTGGCTCTCCTTGGAGCCCTTGGCTGTCATTTAAAAAGCACTGCTTAGGTGCATCATTACCTCCGGTGAGCAAAGCAAGGGGAAACTGATTAGGGACCATGAAGGAATCACGGTAGACAAAAGAGGTCCTTGCGAGTCAGGATGGGACAAAGAGAGAGGTTGGTGACCCCTAAGACAAGGACTGACCCTGGCTGTCTTGGGAACAACACCCATCTACGGACTGTCTGCAGAGCGGATCTGGGCTGAGGGGGCGGGGGGTCTCAGGCGGCCCAGCCATCACGCCCGGTCAGTGCAGCCAAGTCACTTCCCATGTGGGGCCTTGCTGTCCCGTCTCTAAGATGGGCAGTGAGAGTAACGGATCAGCCTGGGGCCTCTAGCTTGGGCACTCTGGGAACGTCAGGCCGGAGGTCCAAGCAGCTGGGAGGAGCTGCAGTCTGGGAAGAAAAATCAGGGAAACTTCGGGACGGGAGTCAGTGCAGCCACAAGGCTGCTCCCTCCTGCCCGCTAGCTCTTGTGTCAGACCTGGGTTCACGTTTCCAGAACCCCACGAGTTGTACAACTTTGGGCAACACGCTTTGCTTTTCGGAGTCTCACTTTTCCCGTCTGTAAAGTGTAGGATTGCGAATACCCACCTTTTTATTTGTAATGCTTATTTTTATTTTTGAGAGGGTGAGACAGAGCGAGAGCGGGGGAGGGGCAGAGCGAGAGGGAGACCCAGAACCGGAAGCAGGCTCCAGGTTCCGAGCCCTCAGCCCGGCCTGGAGGCAGGGGTGGAACCCACAGTGAGATCCTGACCTGAGCCGGAAGTCCGGGCGCCTGAGTGGCTCGGTCTTACAGAAATACCCATCTTCCAGGTGTGAGTTGGGAATGAAATGGGATCACCCACGTGCGGCCTGTAGCAGAGCTCTGGGCCCGGGAAAGGGTCGTTATTCCGGGGATGGCTGGCAACCTGAGTAGGACCCTCTCTGAGACCTCGCTCAGGGCGACCCCAGGTGCCCCTTTCACTTAGGGGCAAGGACAGCTAGGCATACTTATTCTGACGCCCCTCCTCCCCACGCCCCCTATCGCGGGGGTCTCCTCAAAGGGCTCTGTAGGACAGGAGGAGGGCCAGGGCCATGAGGTGGGTCCCAGAGGCGAGCGGAGACTGGTGGTTCTCAGGCCCAATGATGTCCTGAGTAGTGGGTGCGAGGTTGGGAGAAAGAGACCGGCGGCGGGG